TTCAGGTGATTTGTACGTCTTTTCAGTGAGCGTGGGTAACAACAGGTAAGGAAGCCTGACGCCTTTTATTTTTTGCTCAAATTGGGGTCCAATGAAATACCGGCCAAATGTCAATTACCTGCTTGCTGTTGTTCACTGCCGGCTCTAATCACTGCCCCATATTTTTCTCGGTCTTTCTCAATTTGACTCAAAAATGAAAAAAGAAGAAAGCAAATTTTAAAATAACAAGATGCCTTTGGCCACACGTGGTGGCTCATGCCTATAATCGCAGCACATTTTGGGGCTGAGGCAGGAGGATCACTTGAGCCCAGGAGTTTGAGACCAGCCTGGGCAACATAGCAAGATCTTGTCTCTACAAAGCAAACAAACAAACAAACAAAAAACGTTTTTTCTTTTGAGACAGAGTCTCACTGTGTCACCAGGCTGGAGTGTAGTGGTGTGATCTCGGCTCACCGCAACCTCCGCCTCCTGGGTTCAGGTGATTCTCCTGCCTCAGCCTCCTGGGTAGATAGGACTATAGGCACACACTACCACGTCCAGCTAGTTTTTGTATTTTTAGTAGAGGTGGGGTTTCACCATGTAGCCAGGTCTTGATCTCTTGACCTCATAATCCGCCTGCCTTGGCCTCTAAAAGTGCTGGGATTACAGGCATTAGCCACCGTGCCTGGCCAAACAAAATTTTTTAAGTTAGCCGGGTGTGGTGGTATGTGCCTGTGGTCCCAGCCACTCAGGAGGCTGAGGTGGGAGGACCACTCAGGCCCCGGAGGCTGCAGTGAGCAGTGATGTGTCACCTCACTCCAGCAATAATTATTCAAAAAAATAAAAAGCTTAATGAGTTTTGGTTTCAGGGTGCCAGTGATCACTTGGTACCGACTTTTCTGCTTTGTGGACTTCTGCTTTTGCTCATGGATTTGACTGGTCATTTCTGTCACTATCACGTATTATTGAAGTCTTGCTGCTGGTGGGACACGTAAACTTTCCCGCATAGCCACCCCTGACATTCAGAACTATAGACACTGGAACCTGATGGTTTAGAGAGAAGAAAACTCTGAACCGAAAAAGAAAGAAAATTGTTTCTAGGAGAGTTGATGAAATGAAATAGAAAGGTAGAATCTAGAGTAACTCCTAGAGCAGTTTTGGTGACGGTCAAAACATTAGACTAAGCATCTTCTTTGGAAAGTTTGTAGAAATCCCTGCCTGGGGAGCATCTGTGACTAAAATAGGCGACAAGCTGATGGACACGCTTTAGAAGCTCCGCGGCACGGGAGTGCACATGCTAGCATTCTGCCATCTCTAATTCTGTCTGACTTGCATAGATTTAAATTTGGTTATGTTAATCTGAGTAAGATGTTAACGTAAAAGCTTTCTTGCTCATTAAAAAAAGTCATTTATTTCAGTCTTTAAACTGAGACTACTACTAGAAATGTAGTCTCAATTCTAAAATACTGACTAGGAAATTTGGATAACAAAACAAATTATCCGCACTAAGGAAAATTATATAAAAATCTTAAAATAATTAAGCCACACTTTATTGTTCTAAAACGAACATATCCCCTGTAGAAACTATTTGCAAAAAGCTAAAATTGTATTTAAAGCCACAGCTTCGATTGAATGGTATAAGTGCATAAACAGAAAATGTAGGAAAAAATAGATAATTTTATGTCAATCTGCAGGCTACCAGTTCAATATCAATTTGAATACTGTAAGTTTTCATAACACCCTTAGCACCCCAGGGATTTTTAGTGTTCCAAGCTGAAATGCCTAACTATTCTGTTTGTTAAAAAGTTCAAACAACTTAATATGTATTTCTGTTCAAATAATGCAGCAGCCATTTTTTAAAAGGACACATATAGATTGAAATGAAAAGTCATATTTTCTCCTGACTTGTTGCACAGCAGGCTTCCGTCCTGGCAGTCTGCACGTGGCTGTCTTGAGCTCCCCACCTCTCCAGCCCTGCATCTTCTTCCGCCCAACTCTGCATCTCCTGTTCTGCACCATGTTTCCCACAGGAATTGCTTTTGACACAGCAAGTGTCAAGAACCCAGTTTCACAAATATATGCTGTCACCCAGAAGGGTGTAGCTGCAAGTTCGCCCCGGGAGTCTAGAGCTGCTCACAGGGCCTGGGACTGGCCCGCATTGCTGTTTCTCTCTGAATTTAAAGCTATCCTGAGCCTGCGGAGCTCTGGGGTGCCTTGGCTCACAGTTTGAGAAACCACAGGTGTTGGGGACCAGGCTGGGGTGGGTTGTGAGGCACCATCCTGTCACCGGGAAGGGGCAGATTTGCTCCTCCTGCACTGTGTTGACACCAATCATTCTGATCAGAACACTATATTGCAAGTTTTGTATATTTCAAATATCCAAGCACGTAACACAGTGAAATCCACACTGCAGCAAGGGCGGGTGCAAAGTGGAATCCTAACTGGCACAGGAGGCAGAGCGGGTGGGATGGATGAGCTGTGGACCTATTTCCACATCAAGATCCTGTCTCACTGCATCTCATGGGAGCCCGCAGAAGCCTTCTGATGGCTCCATGACAAAGCTGGAGTGTGGCCCAGCAGGGTCCCTCACAGTTCTGGTTTCAGTCTGGGGCAGGGAGTGAGGCTGCCTGTTCCCTGCCTGATCTGCTCCTTCCACGTGCCTCAACCAGTCCTGTGCACCTTATCTTAATAGGATAGGACCCAACACAGCACAGCACAGCGCAACACAAAACAACAACACGACACACAACACACAATACAATACAATATAATACAGTATAACACAGCACAATATAACACAACACACAGCACAGCACAACACATAGCACAATTTAACAACACACAGCACAATATATCACAACACAGCGCAATATAACACAACACACAGCACACAGCACAGCACAACACAACACACAGTACAACAAAACACACACAGCACAGCACAACACAAAGCCACACACAGCAAACAATACAATACAGTACAACACAATATAACACAGCACAGCACAACACAACGCACAGCACAATACAGCACAGCACAATATAACACAACACACAGCACAACACAACACAGCGCAATTTAACAAAACACACAGCACACAGCACAGCACAACACAACGCCACACACAGCACACAGCACAATACAGCACAGCACAATATAACACAGCACACAGCACAGGACAACACACAACACAACAGACAGCACAGCACAATACAGCACAGCAAAAGACAACAAGTACAACAAAACAGCACAGCACGACACAACACAGTACAACACAACACAACAGAACAACAGAGCACAGCACAATACAACACAACATAGTGCAGCAATACAACAAGACAGCACAGCAGCACAGCCGACGAGCATTCCTCGCCACACCCCATGTGAATGCTGCAGAGCTGGCAAGCTCCAGGTCCCAGGTCCAGGGCTGACCTTGCTCAGACGCCCAGGGCTTCCTCCCGCAGAAGCTCCACACCCTCCCCAGCTCTCCTGCCACTGAGGAGGGGTCCACGCCCTGGCCCCCTGACGCAGCAGGAGCATCTGCTTATCTGGCTCCCTTTCCAGCACCTCATCTCTGGGAGCTGGACTGTGCTTTCTGCGTCTCAATAACTGCAGCAGCAGCAGCCTCAGCTGGGCAATGACTGAGGTTCTGGTGTTCTGTGACAGGGCCTCTGGGGTGCACGGCCCATCATGAGGACTGGCTGGCCACACGTCCACAGGGACAGAGGCACTCCCTGGGCCGACCCGGGCCTTTCCCTGAGCTGGCTCTGGGAGGTTTGCTTCTGCCCTGCTCTACTGAATCCAACTCCGTCTATATTGCCCCTCTGCTCTGTGCCCAGCGCTGTGCCAATGCTGGAAATGAAAACTGAAAGAGTCTAGCCGTCAGAGAGGCCTGGTGATGGGGGTGGGCCTGCCTCCGCCTGCCCTGCCCCAGGAGCGCCACTTCCTGAGGACACATCCCAGGGAGGGCAGGCTGGTCCACCCCCCTGAGGACCTGCTGTGGCGAGGGTGCAGGGGCAAGCAGGCTGCATTAGCCCTTATTTGGTTAAGTTTTGAAAAAAATCCTTGAGTGAACAAATCACCTTAAAATGTTATTGCAAATGTTCTACTTTTCTCAAACCTAATTTAATATCATCAGAACCGGTTCAAATTAAGTAAAAACATGTTATTCAAATTGGTATTGAGATTTTAGTTTATAGATTGATTTAAAATGATCTGTTTTGTATCTGTTATATCTTAATGCAATTGCATTTTTTAATTTGAGCTGCGATTTTAAATATAATTTTATTTTTCTGCAAATAGTTGCTACAGGTGATATATTCATTTTCAAATGATAAAGTGTTGGTTAAAACATGTCAAGAACTTTATATAATTCCAAAGTAAGTGGATACCTTGATTGTTATCCAAATTTCACTCAGTATTTAAAAATTAAGAACATATTTAAAGCAGTATTCTGTTTGAAAAACTAAAATATAAAACTTTTCTAAATAAACATTTTAAATTAAAAGCATTTTTAAAATTCTCTCATTTAAAATTAGTTTTTCTTACATGCTCTTCAAACAGAGAATGAGGTCTTCCACAGCCATCCCTTAATCTGTATCTGTATCTATAAATACAGTGAATGCTGTCTGCATTATGAACGGCAGTACGGGAACATCCATAATGCGATTCAATGCTGTGTATATAAAACACTGTTGATACACAATAGTTTATTGTTTAGCCCCTTCTATTGGTATAACCCCTTCCTCTCAAAGAAATTTAAAGTACTTAATGTATCAAGCCTTTTTAACAAGATCTTCCCATTTTACAGATGATACTACTGAGAAATTCAGTAGCTAGATAACATATCATCATCATTACTATAGTTATGATCTGTTGGACAAAAGCAATTCAACCCTTTTGTGGTGCTATTACATGGTCCTTCTCTGACTTTTCAAAGGCCCTTAAAATAACGCTCAATAACAAGAGTGTTTGGGCCCATGTTGTGTTCGTAAGCATTGCACGGAGCCAGTCTACTTACAACAGATCAGTGTGTCGCAGTTAGAACCGGTTAGATGCAGTATGTGACTTTGTGTAGTCCTTTTCCTCATCCTGTCTTTAAAGCAAAAATGGATGTGTGGTTTCTGCTTCCTCCGTTCCCCCAACTGCTCTTCAGAAGAGTCAGGATGTATTTACAGGCAGCTGACACAACCCGCAGGAAAACGGAAACAGAATCAGTACTTCGGTATTTTCTATTAGGAAGATTCTCATAATCCAGCTCAAAAAAATTATTTTCTCCTTCCACTCATTTAATTTTTTTCAAAAATCATCTAAATTGAACAATTAAATGAGAGCACTTTATAAATAATAAATAGCTACTCAGATTTAAATGATCTAGAAACAGCCTTAGTAGCTACTTACCATTAAAAAAAAAAAAAAAGCACCATCTCCTAACACAGGTTTCCCAAGTGTCATCCAGGATTGGCCTCAAAATCTCCCCAAGTGTGCCTGGGAAAGGGCAGACCCTTGAGGCCCACTGGAACCCCAGAAGCAGCCTCCCAGCGGCACTGAGTCTGAGAACCTGAATTTGGAGCCAGCTCTCCCAGTGATCCCATGCACCTTGAAGCTGAAAGACCATCACCCTTGTAAACCTCTAAGTTTCCATCTTTGACCACCAAGACCAATCTGAAGCAATCATTCATTAAAAAACAAAGCAGTTATCATATATAATCTGTTCAAATTTACACTGCAATCTGCATCTATCGATAAAGAACACCCAACGTGCAAGTCTCACAGGAAGACCACCCGAGGGAGTGTTTATCAGAGCACCAGGAAGTCACGGGCTCCAGCGTGGCTTTACCTCCTCTGTGAAACCTTCCCTGGTTCTCACACACTGGGCAAGAGCACCCTGCCTGAGCATCTGGCATGGGCCCCTGTCACACAGCCATAACCACTGACATCATACTGCCTGTGTGATCATTAGTGTCACCCGCCAGATGGTGAGCCCGATAGGGCTGATCTTCACATCCTCAGCACATGGACACAGGCTGGACACATAGCATGTGCTCATACTCAACTTGAACACGTAATGGACTCCTAATAAATGCGTGTTGAACAGATGAAAGAATGAATGTCACAACTGTCAAGCAACTTTAAAGAGAAATCGTGATTAATATGGACACACGGAAGGACTGTGGTTTGTACAGCTTCCATTGTTTCCTACCTAGGCCAGATGTGGCACTCACTGTCCCAGTCGTCCATTGGACGTGCCCTGAGCTGACTCGGGGTCCTTGATGGAGTGCTTCCTATTTGCTTATTTCCTGGGCACTGCACGAATCTTAGATGATGTGTCCCTGTGAAGCTGGTTTTATAATTTCTGTTTTACATCTGAGGAAATGGAATCAGAGGTAAGGACATTTGCCCAAGGACAAAGAGCTAATCTGTGACCAGCATGATGACACTGTGAAAATGCAAACGGCTAGTTTTTACAAGGAGAAGCTTCATTCTGCAGTTCAATTTCTAACACAAAGAACTGACTTCTGCTTCTGCATCTACCTGGACACTCACCACCGAAGTTCAGGCTTTTCCACTCACTGAAAGTTCCCACAGAGTTTGAATTACTTAAAGCACGAGGTTGCTAAATCCTTTCTGAGGTTAAAATATGCTCACCTGCTTTCCTTCTATTCTGTTACTTGGAATGAAAATGTAAGTTGACCTCTGCTTTGAATTTTTTCAGGTTGATCTTGACACTGCTAGTCTACCATTGACAGGTTTTAGGTACCTGGAGGGCACCTCCGCCCTGGAAATCCCAGGTCAGTTCCTTGGCTGCCTAAGACTGTTTCTGCGTCTGAGGAGTGCATAGGACTAGCATGGAGCGCTGCTGCTACCACTAAATATCATCTCTCGTTAGCATTTCCGGGGTGCTCGGAGAGAAAACAATGTCTGGGTGATGACTCTTGTCAGTCTCCCCATTGTCAAACCCCATCTCACGTTCCTCCACACTCACAATATTTCCCCATTGGGAACATGCCTGACATTGCAATTTCTCAAAACTGCAGCTCTGCAGTGAATGCCTAATTCCTGAAACTGCAAAATCTAACAAAAGCGGATTTTTTCCACTGATTTGACTGGCTGACTATTTCAAGGCTTTGCATGTGATGACCTGCTGCTCTCCACAAACAACGTCTTCAATGCAGCCACACGGTTGCTCTGAAGTGGCCGAGGGCAATTACAGCCTGGCCAGCTGCCTACCGGGCACTGGGAATTACTCACAAGGTCCAGCGTTTCTCTCCCAGACGCGATTTTCCCACAAGTCACGCTTAGCAACTTGCCAAGCAGCTGTGACTTGATTTTGAACTCAGAACCCGTTTATCACCAGTGCTCTGTCCCCCAGGGCGAGCTGCGGACAGGTCACTCAGAGATGCTTGTTTTGTGTTGTTTTAAAAACTGCTTTGCCCTCTGTGTTTTAGTGTTGGTGTTTCATGTCGGCGGATGAAAAGTAATTTAGACAAAAACATGGCAATCCCGTTCCTTTTATTTTTACTGTCAAAATAGATGATCTTTTCCCGTCTTTGGATCTATCACTTGCTTGGGTTCTTCATGCGTTTTTCATGTTAAAACTCTTGGGTTGTACTTTCAGCACAAATTCCCAGCTTGGTTGCTAAGGAAGATTAATCCATCTGCTTTCTTTCCTTGCCCCCTGACCTCCCCCTCCTCTTCACCCACACTCCGGTTTTCACTCCTTTCCCGCGGAGCTGCGGCTTTCCCTCAGCTATGAAAAACGCCACGCGCAACGCCCAGGAGTCGCAGCTCTGCCCGGGTGGAGAAGCCAGTCTAGTGATAAACAGTCTTGATACTTTATACCCCGATTCTGCGTCACACACGCCCCCCAGAAACAGGTCGGGGGCTGCGAAGAAGCTCAGCTAAGGCGCAGATTCCTGGAGAGCCTGGGGACGCGGGGTCCGGGAGCGGAGCCAGGCCTGTCTGAGATTTTTTGTTTCTTATGGAAATTAAGAAAGAATTTCTAAAACAGAGCCTCTGGGGCTGAGAGCGAGGGCAGCGTTCTCTCCAGTCCTCCCTCCAGCGGAGCAGCCGAAGCAGCCCCGGGTAATGGAAAAGGCAGGTGTTTACGGAGGAGATGGAGTCGGGGGAGGGCAGCCAGGCACGCCCTGCAGGCCCCAGACCCGCACTAGTTCGGGTCTCTAGTTCGCGGGCGCGCTCCCCCCGCCCCCGCTCCCAGGAAGCCAGGGGCCTGGGGCGCTGCGGCCGCGTCCCCTCCCCCTCCCTGGTCCCCTCCCCCCATCGCCGGGGACCCGGCCGGGCCCTACCTCCCCTCCTCCTCCCTCTTGCCCACTTGTTGCCGTCCAGCCCGAGACGTGCCGGTTCCGCCGGCTGAGTGTAAAAGGGTTTGACTTGCGGCTGACCCCGGGTCAGCACTTCTCTCCGCTAATCCTGCTCTCTTTTACACAAAACCCTCGGCCCCGTCCCTCGCATCAGTCATCTTAATCTCCACTCGCCCCCCACCGGCGGCTGACACCCCGCCTGGCCTCCAGGCCCCGGCGTGGACCGGAGGGAGATGGGCTCCCGGGGCGCCCGGGGACCCCCACGCCCTCCCGCCCCGAAGCTGCGGGGACGCTGCCGAAGGAATGAGGGGCAAGTGGGGGGAGCACGGGCCGCCCCGACACCTGGCCCTCCCCGCCCCGACGCTCAGGCTGGGCCCCCAGGGGCCAGAGAGGGACTGAGAGGGGAGCCGCGCGCGGGCCTCGGCGGGGGAAGGACGGGGCGGCCGAGCTTCAGAGACAAAGAGAAGGCCGGGCCTCGCCGAGAGGCCGGTGTCGGAGACGCGTCTCGGGGTGGGAGTCGGAGGGCGGTGATGGCGGCGTTGCGACGGGAGGGGAGGTGGGAGTGGATGGCGGGGGCTGGGAGGGAGGGCAGAGCCCCGGGACCCGAAGGGCAGAGGCGCGGTGTGCGGGGCTCAGCCGCGGGCAGAGCCGGAGAAAGGGCAACTTTGAGGCCCAGGCAGCGGGGTGCGCCCCGGAGGCCCGAGACTCCGAAGAGGCCCGGCCACCCCCGCCCGGACGGGACCCGTCGGGACCAGCAGCGGACGCCGCTCCGCTCCTTCTGGGGCGGGTGGAGCGGGTTCCCGGAGGGCGCGCAGCTGGAGAGGAACCGCCGGGGAGGGAGAAGGGAGAGACCGAGGGAGGGAAGAACAGCCGAGGCTGGGAGGAAGCGGGAGGAGAGTGCTCGCCCTCAGATGCTGGGAGGTGGTCCCGAGGCCCCGCCCGGGGCGGGAGCGGAGGAAGGGTGAGGGGTCCCTGCGTCCCCCACCTGCCCCCCCGCCCTCGCTCTGTCCTGACACCGCCCCACCCCGCCGGACTCGGGGGGCACCCAGTCCCCCCTTCTCGCTACGGGGCCGCTCACTCCTCCCCATCTGGCCGGGCCTTTCAATCTCGCCAATTAGGCTGGAAAGAGAGACCAGCCAAGGCCAAGTCTGCTTTCCACTTGCAGTTTCCAAGGACTCAGCCCCGGGGCACAGGCAGAGCGTGGGTGGGGCGGAGGCGGGAGTGGGCCCAAGCCGGATGGGGTCCGGGGGACGCTAGAGCCCGGGCCGGCCCGGAGCGCGCCTTCCGGGGACACACGTCCCGGGGCGGGTTTCTTGAATTAACCGGAATTTTCTGGAGACAGAAATCTGCGGTGCCGGGTCTTTGCCGGGAAATGACACGCGGGAGCGTGAGTGCCGTTCTCCCACACGCGTGATTTTAATAGACCTATCAGTCACGCTCCCGACGCGCATCTGCAGATCAGGCCGCTGTGCGCGAGTCTTCTCTCAAACTAATTCATCTAGTACTAGTGGGTTTCTCCGGGGAAGGGGGGTGTCAAAATTTCGACAACAAAGGGGCCGAGGAATTGAAAAACAAAACAAGGCTTAAACAAACAAACCAAAACGGAAAACCCTCCAGCGAACCCTCCTACCCCCGGTGTGGAGGGCAGGGCCGAGCGCAATGGCGGATTTACAAGTCACACCGTCGTCCCCGCTGGAACTGCTGCAAACTTTCCCCAGGCCTCAAAGACTCCTGTCCGCCTTCTCTACGCGGCTTGCTAACATAATTGGACTAAGCGACGGAAGCACCACCCTGTGATTCGGGAAGTGAATGAAGCCGTCATATAATATAATAACTATCATCACACAGTATTTCACTCCGTGAATACGAGGAGTGTTACCTTGTCCAAGCGCTGCACCCGCAGTTGTCTCGGGGCCTAGTGTAATCTTTTCTCCACTAATTTTAGTCGGAGAGACACTGCTGGGGGCAGGGAAAGGGGGATAGATTTTCAATCCAGAGATGAATCTCAGCTAATTTCTTTGCCCTCCCCCCAACCCTGTGATATTTTTTAATAAGTCATTAAAAATTTCTATTTGCTTTTGTCCATGCTGTTCTAATCAATAAAACAAGGAAGGAAGATGGCTGGAGCACCTGGCATTGGCTATTTCACTGACTGCATGAAGCACTTGCCTAATGCCAATCTGTAAGACCATCCTCCGGGGAGACACAGGCCGCTTGCCTGGCGTCCCGGGCGCACTAACTCAACTTTTCATAGTCTGTGGCTCTAAAGTGGGGCCCACATCCTAACGTTAGCCAAGACCCAGATGCCAACAATTGCACACAGAAACTCCAGGGTACACACAGGCGAACATAGGGGCCAGACTGAGGAGTAGACGCCAAAGAACCTCAGAGAGAGTCCTTTAAGTCTGTATATTTCAGAGAAAATCCTTAAGGTCCCAGTGAGTTAACAGAACAAGCATTATAGAATTTTTCAAAGCAACTCCCAGAGGGGATTGGGAAGGCCCTTTCCCAGACTAAGTCGTAATGCTGCTCAGCCATCCATGGGCACACAGACACTTCTAGAAACAACTGCTTCAGAAAGGATCAAATAGTTAAAAGAAAGAAAAATGAAGAAAAAGAAATGGGGGCTTTTATTGTTAGAAAGCAGTGGACATCATTCTTGAAGTTTTTTTGCAATCACTTTAACGAATGAGTGGTTTAAGCAAACTTATCAGAATGACTCCCCAAAATTACACATGTCAATTGTCAGATTAGCATTAAACTTAGAGCTGTTCTCAGATGTAGGCTGAATTCAGTTCTCACTAAACTGACAGCATAGGCCCACTTTTGGATGGACAGTCCGTACTCGCTCCAAGACAATTAAAGGTGTTGAGAAAACGAGGGGGAAGCCTAAGGCTGCTGAAATCAACCTATTTCCATCAGGACTTAAAGTGGTTTTTTTTTTTTTCAAAAATATAATTTCATCTTAATGTTGTGATTAATTTTTAAATGTATTTGCTACAGTATAACTTGTAAATGCAATATTTAATGCTGTCAGATTACTTGAAGACAAAGTTTTACAGAAAACTTTAAATTTCAGAAAAAAACTGCAATGTACCAATAAACACCTAGAAAAAAATATAATTAAAAAATTTAAAGCATCAAACAACCTCAAGATCTCGTCAAGAGTAATGAACAAGGCATTCTGCGTTCACGTCGGTTAGCAACTTGCATCCCAGTTCACGCAGGGGAGGGTGATGGTCGATATTTCTCTGTGTGTATGAGAATCCAACACAATGATTTCGCCCGTTTTCTCAGGAGAAAGAAGCCAGAGGGAGGGGTAGCGGGTGGACAGAGGGGGCTCGGCTGCATCACATTTTGGTTCAGCGATTTTGTTTCCTGGAAACACACTTAGATAAATTCTGCTCGAAATTTTGACTGATGGGGAATTGGGAAACCCGTGACCTGCCCTGGTCTTTGTCCCTCATCCAAGGCCTGGTCCCGGGTCCCGCCATTGGGGTCTTCCCTTCCTCCTTTCTCCTCTGGACCGAACAGTGGCGCAGAAGCCCAGTCAGGTGGAAGGCGCCCCGCTTGCAGCAAGGTAACGAACGCGCAGCCACCCCAACCGCCCGAGCAGAAGATAGTTTTAATTATTTCTCGGCCCGTGGTAATACTTCAGTCCTACAAAATAACCTATAGGTTTTAACTTTCTTCTCTTCCTTGAAAATCCTATTTCCCCCGCCCCATTCCCCGGGGTTCCCTTACTTTTAGTTCATACAGATGATTTCCCTTTCAGATTTCCTAATTGCATTTTGAACTCATAGAACATGCATATAAAAATAGCATGTTCCAAATTTATGGGGAAATGGGCTTTCTCTGTTAAATTTATTGAGTCAAAACATTTTGGGGGCGGGCGTCTTTTTCCGTTTTAGAAGAAAGGCTTTTTAGGAAACTATGTACATAATCTGACTTCTCCTCCCCGCATTGCAACGCCTAAAATAAAATTTTCACAATGCATTTACAAGAAATCATACAAAACCAAAAAAAAAAAAAAATGGAAATGGTCAGATACAGAAAGTTTTACAAAACCCAGAATATAACTCCGCCGCCTTAAGGAGGGGATGGTGGTGGTAATCTCTTTGTATAAATTAACAAACCAACCCAAAAGAGCGGAAACAACTACAAAAAACTTGTAAGTGCTTGGACCTGCCTTACTACATTTATAACAAATGCGACGAGCTCCGCGTCACTCGGGCTCAGGCTGTCGGCGCCGTCATGAAGCGACGCCAGGGAAAGTGAACGCGCCGGCCGGGATACAAAAGTTGGCTTCGCCTCTCGCCTCGTTTTGACTTTTTTGTCCCCTCGAGCAAAGAAAACGCTTTCTGCCTCCTCCGCAGGTGATAAATACTGTACAAAAAGTCTCAAGAAAACACCGAAGTTCAGTCTAAAACGCAAGTCTGGTGTCAGCGCCCAGCGGTCGCCCAGAGCTCCGGGGAAGGTGAGCTGGCGACACGCGCCACCGGGCGTCCGTCTCCAGCGTTTTCCTTTTGACCAGAGCCTGGAAACGTCTGTACAAAAGCCAGGCCGCACAGGGGCGGGCCGCGAGCTTGGGAGTCGCCGCCCAGGGTCCCCGGCGTCCCGGCGGCGCTAGATGTGCGTCAGGGGCACCGTGCCGTTGACGCCCGCGCCCGCGCCCTGGTAGTGCTGCGGCAGCGAATGCAGCCGGCTCTGCGCCGCGGCCGCCGCTGGGTCGCCCCCCTCGCCCGCGGGCAAGTACATGCTGATCATCTCGCGCAGGTCCCCGGGGCACGGCGCCCGCGAGTGCGCAGGGGCAGGCGGGCTGCCGCTCGGCTCCGACTTGACCAGCGAGCCCAGCGCGCCCAGGGCGCCCGACGACGCGGCCGCCGCCGCCGCCGCCGCCGCCACGGCCGAGTTCTGGTGCGCGCCGCCCGCGGCGGCGGCGGCGGCGGCCGCGGCGCCGTAGGGGAGGCCGCCGTAGCCCGAAGGCGATGCGCTCATGTAGCCCTGCGAGTTGGAGATGGGGCTGTACTGCAGCGCGCCCATGTCGTAGCGGTGCATGGGCTGCGGATTGTGCGGATGCGCGTGCGGGTGGTGCGGATGCGGGTGCGCGGGGTGCGCGTGCGGGTGCGCGCCACCCGCGCCCGGGTGCTGCCCGTAGGCCAGCTGCGCCTCCTGCATCATGGCCGCGGCCGCCGCCGCCGCAGCCACCGAGCCCGGGTAGGCGCCGTTGGCCCAGCCGTTGACGTGCGCGTAGCCGCCGCCCGCCGCGCCGCCCGGGCTCTCCAGGCGCTGGCCCACGGCCGCCGCGCCCACGCCCACACCCACGCCCATGGCCACGGCCGCGCCGCCGCCGCCCGCGCCGGCCGCCAGGAGCCCGCCGGCCAGCGAATACTTGTCCTTCTTGAGCAGCGTCTTGGTCTTGCGGCGCGGCCGGTACTTGTAATCCGGGTGCTCCTTCATGTGCAGCGCGCGCAGCCGCTTGGCCTCGTCGATGAACGGCCGCTTCTCGGCCTCGGACATGACCTTCCACTCGGCGCCCAGGCGCTTGCTGATCTCCGAGTTGTGCATCTTGGGGTTCTCCTGGGCCATCTTGCGCCGCTGCCCGCGGGACCACACCATGAAGGCGTTCATGGGCCGCTTGACCCGGTCCTGGTTGGCCTTGGTGCCCCCGCCGCCGCCCCCGCCTCCGCCCCCGCCTCCGCCGCCGCCGCCGCCTGCCCCGGCGGGGCCCGAGAGGTTCGTGGGGGCCTGGGCGCCGCCGGGCGAGTGCAGGTCGGTCTCCATCATCATGCTGTACATCGGGGCGGCTGGCGGGTTCACCGGCACCGCGAGGAGGGGGCCTGGCGCATAGACGGCCGGGTTGGGGGGTAGACAGAGAGGAGTTCGAACGGAGCGAGACGGGGGCGGGGGGGGTCCTAGCAGAGAGAAGAATGGGTAGGAGTGGAGGCAAGGACAACAAAAAGAAGCAGAAACACGCACTCGGCGCCGCTTCGGCTCGCAGGTTTAAAGTTTCTCCCGGTGCACAAACCACTTGCCAAAGAGGCCGACAGTCGGGGTCGCAGTCCTCGCCGCCACCGCAGCCCAGGCGCCCTCGGCGAAGCGGAGCAAACAGGTGCAGTCTTGGCCAAGTTGCCGCTCCACTTGCGGGGCCAGGAGCCTCGCGCTGGGCCCGGCCGGGGGTGCGCTGTCTCCTCCTCGCCGGCCGCCGCCGCCGCGCGCTGTCTCCTTCCCCCTGTGATCAATCCTCAGCGGCCTCCAACTCGGGGGCTGCAACTTCTAGCTGGGCGGCGCACCGCGTGCGCTGGGCATGTGCTGTTCCCAGGTGCCCGGGGGGAGCCAGGCGCCGGGGGGGGGCGCAGGGGGGCCCGGGGGGGGCTATTACGGTGCAGCCAGGGAGGGGTCCGAGGACAGCGGGAGGAGCGCGGGCTTGCGGAATGGGCCGGAGAGCTGGGGCCGCCGAGCCCGGGACGGGCTGCCCGTTGCCTGCCCGGGGCCGTGCGCTCGGAGCGGAGGCGCACGCGGGGCCGGCGGCGCGCGGGGCCCAGCAGCCATACGCCGGGCCCGGGCTGCCATTAAATGTGCGCGCCGTGGCCAATGGGAGCCGGCGGCGGCGGTGATTTGCATGGCGCGCTGGCAAGTGACGTGGGAGGGAGTAGATACACTGGGCGCGGGCGGCAGAGCGGGGAGGAGGGGAGGAAGGAGGGGGAGCAAAGCAGGAAGGAGGGGGGGGAGGAGGCCCGGGAGGGGGTGACAGCCACGCCGCTTCCTGAGCGCGCGCGCGCGCGGCGGCGGCGGCGGCGGCGGCGGCGAACCCAGAGCTCGCCCTCCTCGCCGCTCCCCGCCCGCGCGCTCCGAATGATTAAGGATTGGGTTGAAAAGCGAAGACTTAGGAAGAATCGTCAGGGGTTGGGAAGAGGAACGCAGCCCTTGGCCAGTTTTACAGGGGCGCGGTGGAGACCCAGCTCCTCCTCTGCCCTCACCGGCCAACTCCCAGCCTGCAGGGAAGGGGAAAGTTGAGCGCGAGGCCGGCGCATCACCCTCAGCTCACCAGAGTACTGAAAAGGAGGGGAGTTCCCATGGACGCAGGAGAGACCCTCCGAGGGCTCCTACAGGTTCTCCTGCAAGGATCAGGCGGCTCAGTAACCCCACCCCCACCCCACCCCACATCTCTTCTCGGCCGCGACGCGCACTGAAGTTCTCGGGTGCCCCCTCTTGCAGCCAGGGCCTTCACAGACCAGGCCCCTCAATTCGGGTAAAGGGGGAGTATTTGTGTGCGCTTGGCTCCTTAGCCTTGTTTCGTACCAGCCTTAAACTTTTTTGGGGTGGGTCTTTTAATGAGCCTGGGGTAATAGTCACGCACTCTTCCCAACCCGGGTCTTCTTCCTCTGGAAAAGGAATTTCTAGGAAGGTGTAGCACGACAAGATCTATCTGGAATCTAGTTCCTGAATAACATGTTGAAAAAGTTTGTTGAATCGCAA